CGATTGGCCGCCGCCGCCGGAAAACTGCTGCAAACGGTCCGGCCGTCCTCCCAACCGATTGGCAGCAGCCCCAAGAAGCGGGACTTCTGATTGGCTGCCGTGCCTGTCCTTTAGGGCACTTCGCTCCGCCCTAGAGGGGAGGACGGGAGTGCCACGTGGGACAAACCCTGGCTGCTGATTGGCGGCGAAGCCCTCCGATGGGCGCCGCGCGAGCCGAGGCGCGGGCCCGGCTGCCCCCTCTCTTTAGCTTGAGGCTGCGCAAAGGGCCGCTGTTTCACCTGCTTATTTTAAGCTTTCCTGGAAACGTACAGCTCCACAATCCCCTAAGAGAGCAATTAACTCTGTTCCACAACGCACCCACCCGGGCAGGGCGTCGGGACCAAGCTGCAGCCCTGCACTCAGGGGTGACCACAAACCAGCATGGCCCACGCCACCCCTCCAGCTGCATATGAACAGGCAGTGCCTTCCAGCAGCATTGCTTCTACAGCCCAGTATTCTCAAAAAGAGCAAGAACTCCCCTGACACTCCCTTGACCGCTTCTGCTCCCCAGCCTCTCCAAGGAACTGGGGTTTTACTGAAAGACCAGCTGAATTCAAAGGATTGGGAGGGCTTTAGATACACGTAAGGTACAGCCCCTCTCGGCTTAGAAGCACCGACGTGTATTTTTCAAGAAGCTAAAGGGTTGGAAAATGCGTGGATATAAAAGCCTGTTCCCTGTCACCTCTCTATTTCCTAGAAATCACAGGGACATCATGAGGTCAAGCTCAAAATTGCTCTTGCTTTACAACTCCAGGCCCATGGAAAGAGACGTGGAGACGGAGGTGACAGGCTCACAGAGGGAGCAGTAAAGTGCAGACAGCCTCCTTATCAGTCCCTCTAGGATCTCAAGATGACTGGAGGGGAATAAAACAGAGGCATTTTAAGGAGCATTTTAACATCATCAAACTTTCTTGATAGGACATAGTGCAAATAGGAGAAATATTGGTCATGCTTTATAAAAGACAGTCTAACCTTCTAGGCTGCTTGGTGTGGGAGAAGAAAAACATGAGGACAGCAGAGCCAAACTCTAAGTCTCTGTGTCCCAGGCATTCCAAGCAAGCTACTCATCCATTGTGGAGGAGAGTCCCTTGTAGTGTACTCTGGGATATTATAAATTATCTGACCTATACAGTAACTAAAAAAAAAAAAAATCATCTTTCCTCACTCAAACTGCACAATTGCCCTAACTCAAATGCAGGAAAAATACCAGGAAGTTTGCCTGGAGTACCATTTCAGGATTCAATGCAGAAAAGAATCTTCAAGTTTACACAGTGTGGGGGCATCCAGGGACCAGGGAGCCAGCACTGGGCTGCCACATGTGTGAGCAGGTCACCTCTGGAGGGGGACATGACATCTGAAGTTTCCCAGGCATTCCTGCACTCACTTCTGTGGCCTCTGTACATCACTGCAGATACTGGTTAGTGAGATAAACACAAACACCACCTTCAGGCAACTCTGAACTCTGCAAGGACAACATGGGAACCTCAGCAGTACTGGATTTTTGGTCCCTCATTCCATCCTTCAGAGCATGTTGGTCCTCTCTGTAACAGCAAGATCTGAGCAGGTCTTTGGCAAGTCACAATCAGTGGGAAGCATGGGGATGGAAAAGGGATGCTGGAAAGGGCAGAGTCCTGCTGTGGATCTCTGTTACAGTACTGTCACAAGAGCACCTATGGATTTCAGTGTGGAGCAAGAGAGGTTAAAGCTCATCCTTGGTATTAACAAGATGTTGCAGAGGATGAACTGGTATCCCATGATCTCTCATCAACTGCTCCTGTGACCCATCGTGGCTCTCAGAGGGTCTGTCATCCGAAAAGTCTGTGTGACTGTAATCCTGGAGCAACCCCGCCTGTACTGCGTGGTGCAGGAGTTCCTGGCTCCCCAGCAGTCCCTGCATTCTCATGTACCCCTGCTGGCAGGAGGGAGGCAGCTTCTGATGGGTGAAGGCAAACAGGAAACACGACTCTGCAGGGGAAAGGATCAAAAATTAGTCAGCAGAGACATCCTGTAGGGAAAAATTCCCAAAAACTATCAGAGACTTGTTCAAAACAAAAGGCAGGGAGGATGAGGGAAGACGGCTGGAGTTTCCCACCCGGTACCCTGCCTCAGGTGGCAGCACAGTAATTGACTTAATTCTGCAGAGCTCAGGAGATGTATAGAGGGATGCCCAGTCTGCACACAGAGAAAAAGGTGCTGGATTTGAGCTTGCATCTTTTGGCATCTTCTTTGTGCTACAAGATGGCTTCCCTCTGTGTGCCACATGGGCTTCCTGTAGGAGGGTCCCACACTGGTCTTAAGACCAAAGAGGGAGGCAGCACAGGCTCTTCATCTCTCACATCACAGCACTTCTATTTCCCATGGACAAGCAATCCAATCACCAGTACATGAGAGATACAGAAGGAAATTCTCTACTACACCATGGCACAAAGAAATGTTCAGATAATGAAGAAGAAAGGAAAGCTGCAGCTAGAAAAAGGATAGAACCCAACCTTACATGCCTTTCTATAAATTCTGGCATGCCTGAGACAGTCTTTTTCTAATGGTGAACAAGAGCGAGGACTCTTTGGGAACACAGAACAGCACTTTGTACCATCTGGTGAGTGCATTGAGGTGGTGTGACTGACAGTGAGACAAGCAGCTCACCACAGGGACATCTCAACTATTTGCAGAGAAGATCACTTCTGTGACTTGTTCCTCACACTCCTCCCTCCTCTTCCTGCCACTTCTACCCTGTGCACAAATTACCTGCAAAGAAATTGCGCAGGTCGGTGCTGAGGCAGTTCTCCAAAAACCGCCTCAGTGGCAGGATGTGAGCGTTTGGGGCTGTCCAGTCTGTCAGAAAGTCCTCCACAATGTGATGGATGGCATCTGGCCGGGGCAGAGGCCAATCTGGGGGATGGAGTCTCATCTCATGCTCTGCCAAGAGAACATTAACATAGTCTCTCAGAAGCAAAATGGCATTAAAAAGAACTTGGGGAGTAGAAAGCAGCTGTGACAGCTGTTTCCACTTTTGTCCTGACCTTTTAATCCGTAACTTTCGTTTGAAATCCCCTCTGCCAGCTCTGTCCTCAACAGCCCTGCCACTGCACAGCTGCCCTCTGTCCCTGCCTGTAGCATTCCTGTCATTACACTCCTGTTCCCCCTGGGCAGGGACTGCCAGATGGGCTAAGCTGCATTTAGTGTTGCTACCCATCATGCTTATTTCTGTGTAAGGCAAGCTACACCCTGACCCTAGGTTTCTGAAGATGAGGATTTCAACACACTCATTTCCCAAGGAAGTCTACTTCAAGCCTGTTTGCTGCTGGACAGAATACCCCTCTTCAAACCCTTGCCGTTGGCTGTCTCTATGTCTGTGTGACCTCTCAGACCTGGGCCTGCCAGAAAGCAGCTTTCTCTTGGCAGCAAGATGGCCAAACAACAGCCCAGCCTCATCTGTCAGGCTCTGCAAAACACACATAGGGTGCCAGCCAAAGGGAAGAACTGTTCCTCTTTTTGGGCATGGGGAAATTTCCAGCATGTGTTTGTTCCTGTTTTCAAACACGAGGTCTCTGGTAAAACCCCCCCCCACCCTGTACTGGACTTACCCATGGAACTTCCTTGCTAACTCTCAGCTTCGTTTTCAGCTCATACAGTGGTTGGGGGTGGCTCACAGGAAGGGGGAACAGTGCTTTCAGATGTCACCCCCACTTGGGGTCTGATTTATTTTTATCCCTCTTTGTTTTGTTTGTAATTAGCAGGAAAGCTTACCTGTTGGGAGGCGTTTGTAATAGTAAATAACAGGGTGTAAGAAGTTAGACTGCCAGGCATGCTGCGCCTCTCCCACAGCACGGTTGTAGTAGAAGACATCCTTGTCAGCCCCAGAGAAATTCTTCCCATACTCCATGATGATGACAAAGAGCCCACTGCCAGCCTTTCTTCCTGTCTGCATTTCCAGCTCAGCCAGGACTCCAATAGGGTACTCTTCCAGGTACTCAAATGCTGTGGCATTCCTGTGAATTGCAAACACACCATCGGAATTTTCCATCAGAAAAAGCCAGCTGGGATCCAACCCCCCCTCAGCTGGTCAAGACTATAGCCAAAAAGTCGTAAGATAGCAATTTTGATTGGTCATTACAGATCTGGGCTGCACTTGATGCAGAGATTATAAAGGCTGGAGATACTATTACAGACACCATTGTTTTCATGGGATTATGGGATTTTCTCTACAGTAGCACCGCTCAAGGAAAGCTATTCCCCTGGGGTCAGTAAGAGTACTACAATCTCTGAATCTAGAGGGAAGGTCTGGACCATTTCAGCCCTTTAACAGGGATAAACAGTCTGCACAATTGTGCATCAATTGCAGCAGTGGTACAGCTTTGGGACGGCTGCCTATGTGATGTGTAACATCCTTAGGCAGGACCAGCGCAATTTTTGTGGTGGCACTACGGGAAGCAATGGTAAAGAAACAGAAATGAAACTATGGAGCGCAGTGCTGGGAATAATTACTCACTCACTCACTCTCTCAGCAGTATGATGTCAGCCAGGACACTGAACATCTGGTAGAGGCCTGAGGCCTCATTCACCCTCTTGATGATGGAATTGGTCAGCTGTGTAATAGGGTGGACTGTGGATGGCCAGGGGACACCATGGTGACGGTTTTCCAATAGGCGATGGACTGCCCGAGCTAAGACATGGAGAGAAACAAAGACAGCTCATTTAACAACCCAAGCTTATGCTATAAGAAATCAAATTTCTGCACTGCAGCAGGACTCAATAAACAATCTATACAGCTCCTCCATGCTCAGATCTCCCACCCCAATCGCTGGTAACTGCAGTGGAGATGCCCTCGGAAAGCTGATGTGATGCTGAGTGGTGCGGGAGGGGGTGGGGGTCCTTGGGGATATTTCATTACTTCTCAGCAGTCCTTTAATGATAAGGATAGGCACACACACATAAAGAAGGAAATTCTCTCTACTGCCCACAGCTGCTGGGTTTTGACTCCACAGCACAGACCTCTCACCCACAGCCTGTCATGAGGCAGAGCGTCTGGCAGGAAGAAATCTATTGTGTTACATAAATAACAGAGAGCAGGCAAGAGAGACACAAGACAAAACAAAGATAGACAACCAAAAACTTCATATGCGACCCCAAGTTACTTCTCCACTTCAGATGATGCAGTTGCAGCTTCTCTGTATTTTGTCCTTTTTATTGCCAGAACGAGACTAAGGGAAATCACTTTCCAGCAGTAATCTATGGTTTGTTCCTTTGAAGGGAGGAACAGTTTCCACCTCTGCCCTTTCTGTACATCCCAGTACTCACTTGTATACCGGAATCCATGGATGAAGCCCCCAGCAGATTTCCTGAAGTCAACTGAATGGCTAGCAGTACCAAGAACAAAGAGCCCCTGGGTGCTTCTAGACTCATAGCTGGGTTTGATTTGAGGATACTTCTTAATATTCCCTTTTCCTGGCATCATTCTCAGGGATCTGATATTCAAAAGAGAAGAGCAGGCTATCAGGAAGGACAGGAGTAGAAAAATAAAAAGGGTTTCTGATACACATTATTACTGCAGCCACTGCAAGATTCTGCCTCATACCCCTGCTGCCTTCAGTGGCATTTACTACTAAAATGAGGATCTTTGGAAGATAAGGGTGTTCAACTCAAGATAGCCCTGGACAAGATCTAATTCTTAGCTGAGCCACTAACAGTGAATTTTGGAAGACAGTGAAATTAGCAGTATCATTTTCAGCTCCACAATGTACCAAGGTGGAATGAGGGTTGCGTCCTCAGGGAATTTTTTTTCCCAGATAAAACCCTTTTGCAATGATCTGCACCTTTATCATCCTCATTTAAAAAATGAGGATGATAAAAACAAACACTGCTAGCCCTGTCCATGTGATCTGGCAGGTCAGCATGTTACGTTCTAAAGGTACAAACTTTTCTGTGTCACTCAGGTCTCACTGCTGCCATCTACACAATGTTAGAGCCTGTCGGTCAGAGGGCAGTGACACACATTCCTACTGGGACACACTCTTACCTGCAGGATAAACAAAGTACTGTGCAGCACCAAGCAGCTCAGAGCACACAGAGATCCAAACAATGCTGCCAGGAGACTTGCTCTTCCCTCTCCTCCCTACTCAGGCCCTTCAGCCTAAACACCTTCTTTCCTGGAGATCCTGGTTCTCCCTCACCTATTATAGATAGAGAAGTCAAACTTCCAACCCAGGCAGCGGATGACACGGTCGTAAGGTG